TTGGAATCAGCGCTGGGCTCAGATCCTCATTCAGCTGTTCATTCATCAAATACTCAATGAGTGTTTTCACTGGAGCTGAGACCGTGCAGGTTCTCAGTATAACCTTTGACCTTGGGCAAATCAGCATACTTTTCTGAATCTCCGTCTCGTCATGTAAAGTGGGGACAGAAATACCAATCTTGAACGACTGTGGTGAGAATGAAATAAGTATCTATAAATGGTAGTTGTTTATTACAGAATTTTCTGTTCCAACTCCATGGTTAGTTGCTTAAGATGAACTGCTTGTCTTAAAATATTCCAGCTTTGATATTCAGTCCAGCAGATGTGTATGGAGCACCTGTTACGTGAAAGGCGTCATGCCAGCCCGGGGCAGGGTGGGGGGTAGCATTACCAGCAAGGCACATTTGCAATCCCAGGGAAGCGGGGTGTCAGGCCAGCCAGCGAGGCAGTGGCCGGCAGCCCGCGTTGCAGCAAAGGCTTGTCGCGTGTCCCAAGACAGCACTTGAGGGCGTAGCTGCTGCTTCTGCCAAGAGAAGCTGGTGAAGACCAGGCAGGTCGAAGACCAACCAGACGAGGGTTGACCGAGGGTGAGAGAGACCGCGGCAGGTGGATGACGAGAGGGCATGCCAGCAGAGGTCCCCCGTCAGCAAAGGCACAGAGCTGGCAGGGAGGTGTCGCAGTTGGTAGCAGCGAGTTACGTGGACTGGGAAGAGGCTGTGAACACTAGGGGCTGCTCAGCACTGTGGGTTGAGCTCGTGATGCACTTACAGGAGGGTGGGATGCGCTCCGTATTGGACGGGACTAGCATGGTGCTGTCCAGTGAAAATGTAATTCCAGCCACTCCTGGAATTTAAAACTTTTTTAGTAGCCACATTAAAACAGTAAGCAGATGATATCAATCTTAATATATTTTATCTAACCCAGTATATTCAAAATATGACCATTTCAACATGTAATTAGTATTAAAAAAAAAAAACCTTTAATAAGATATTCTACATTCTTTCTTTTGGTATTAGGTCTTCAAAATCTCCTGTGTGTTTTATACCACAGCATGGCCCACGTGGACCACAGCCACATTCCAAGTGCTCAGCAGCCGCGTGTGGCTAACAGCTGCCGTGCTGAGCAGCTCGGGGTCGGGAGCCGGGGATGATCTTCATAATCCTGAGCCTCCCTCGGTAGCTGGAGCCAGGCTTCTCCCTTCCAACTTTTAAACAAACCTGGCCAACAACTGATTGGTAACTCAGGGGAAAGAGAAAAAACTGGGGGATTGATTCCATCACCCATGGGTTATATGGTGTCCCCTCCAAAAAGGGATAGGATTCCCTGGTGTTTCCCAGCCTCACGTGCCCCTCCATGGGCAAGCTCCCTGGATAGCAGGTTGCTGTGTGCCATTCATTGAGCATCTGGGATGGCCCGTTCACACGCTGGGTACTTCAGATGATCCATTCTTTCTTGTTTTTCAGTAAATCTACAAAGCAGGGTTCCTTACCCGTTTTACAGAGGAGGAGAGTCAGGACATGATTTGGTACTTTGCCCGAGGTCGTATAACCAGACATGGCAGAGCCGAGGCTCAAAACCTGGTTTCAAACCTGTCTTCCTACCGCTCCTCCTGGCTGTTTCCCTAATAGGATCCAACACCCTACACACATTATAATCTCTAAATTGGAGATTATACAATTACATATAAAGAACTTAAATCAGCATGTGTGTATACATGGATATCTGTATACACATACACTAGGAAAGGACTTTAAAGTTATAATCAGAGAAAAATGCATAAACTTAAAACATTCTGTGTTACAGAATGTGTCCTCCCTTCCTTTTTTCTCTGCCTCCCACTCTCCTGCCCAGGCACGCTGGGGACCAGGTGGAATGTTCCGGTGCTGACCTGTTGCCATGGGCTCATGTAGGTGGGGGTGGGGGCAGTTAGAACCGGTGGAACTCAGGCATTTGTGAAGTTTCCATCTCCCGATTAGGGGAGCTAGAGGCGGTGGCAGTCGCAAAGCTGGAACTCAGCCGGTGGCGTCAGCTCCCGTCCTGCCTGCGCTGCTTGCTGGGAAGGAGCCAGACGAGCCGTGTGAGCTTCATTTTTATTTCTCCTCTGTTAGGGCTGGTGAGCAACGAAGGGCCCACAGAGAGGGTAAAGGGCAGGAAGATGTGTGGGGCTGGTTGGGAAGATGGGACTGTTCAGGTTTTCCGAGGCAGGCAGATGTGTGGTTTGACCTTTGACCCTGCCACCCCCTACTTTTGTGACAGTGGCAAGGCTTTGGGATTTCCTACCGTATACCCAGAACAATCGTTTTAGCCAGGGCTCTTCTCAGTGTGAAGCACAGAGATCCACTGGAGCCAGCTCACGTCGAGGGAGGCGTTCCTCATGGCAGGAACACGGCAGGAGAGGAGCCCTGGTGGAGTCCGGACTGAGAAGATAAGAGTCTCCTCTCTCAGCCTGTCGTCTCCCACCTGGCCTCCCTCCCAGTGCCTGCATCTGCGTGATTGTGCAACTTCAGGGTCCCTTCATGTTTCTTAGGTTCTTGAGACAGAGGCCAGTTGTCCCAGCTGCTTTCTGAGGCAAGTCCACAATTCAGAGGTCCCGGCAGAGTCTGTGTGAGCCGCCCTGGCCCTCGAGGCCACCTGGTTCAGCGGTGAGGTCAGAGTGCGTGGGGACACCATCCTCACCCTCAGAGGGAGGCAGGCATGGGCAGGGGAGACATCAGGACAGGTGTTTCTCTGCCAAATTGCTTTCCCACCCTCTGAGTTGATTGTGTCGTGGCTTCTCTTTCCTCAGGGCTGCCTCCCAACGCCCCAGGCTTCACGCTGAAGCCCTCTCTGGTTTCGTGGAGAAACTTGTTCCCGCTGCCACAGGGTAGAGCCACCCCTCCCGGCCCTGCCTTCCCTCTCCTTGAGTCTGAAGGTACTCCTTTGCCTCTCAAAGGCAGGTCCGTCCATTTGAGTTCTCACCTCGTTCCTACAGATACCCCATTTTTTTCAGCGTCAGGTTTTCTCCCATTCTGTTAGACCTCTCAAACATCCTCTGGTTTCTCTCATTATTGAAAGAAGGAAAAGTCCTTTTGGCCACACATGCCCTTCCACAGGGCTCCAAACTGCCTGGCTGTCCCAGGGCTCTGTGGGGTGCTGGCCTGCAAACCGTTTACCACAGTTGCTGAAAGATGGAGGAGCTTGCACCAGGCAGTACATCAGCTGTGCCCTGAGCACGTTCCACAGCAAATCTCCCAGGTGAAGGAAGCAGCGTGTTCACGTACATTCCGCCACAGTCCCCTCTGCCTCCCCAGACAAGCAGCAAGCAGTTTGCTGCCATACTTTAGCAGTCCTGTCAGAGCCTCGCCTCCCACTCCCCCGGAGTTACTCGAGGTGGCTGGTCTCCTCCACTCACCACATTCGGTAGCTGCTGCTTCATTTTCATCTTAATTGTCTTCTCAGCAGTGACCTTGACTTTCTTGGTTCTCTTTGTCTTCTTCACTTGTCCCCTTTGCTTGTGTCTCCTCTTCCTGGCCTGTAGCTGTCAAGTGCCCCGGGCTCAGTCCTGGGCCCTTTCTCTCTCCACCTTGCACATAGAGATCTCACCTAGTCCGGCAGCTGATGACTTCCAAATATAGATCTGCAGCCCAGGCCGAGCTCCTGGCTCATTTATCCAGCTGCCTCCTTGATATTTCCATGGCAATTTCTAATAGGCATCCTCACATGCACACAGGTGTGAGCAGAACACGTCATGTTCTTTCCTGAACCTGCTTTCCCCATGCCCCTTCCCTCTCCCGTCATGAGGCCGGATCACCACCCATGCAGTGGCTCGGGCTCCAGACCTTAGGCTCATCTTTGCCTCCCCTCCCCTCACTTGCCACGCCCAGTGTCCCGAGGGCCTGCTGGTTGTACCCTCAGAACATAACTCCATTCTGCATCACCACTGACTGTCCCCATTTCTGGGCTACCACCCCCTTCCCCGGGCTGCTCCAGAGACTCCCTTTTCTCCCTCTGACCAGCCAGAGGCAGCTGTGCGACACCTGTGCTTCCCTATGCCAAGCCCATTAGTGCCTTGTGCTGCTCTTGGAATAAAGCTCTTCACAGAGGCCCTGCAGTGCCCTGAAGGACTTGGCTTTGCTGCCCGTGTCACCTCCTGTCCCCTCCTCCTGTTCCTCCCTCCTCAGGAAGCCTGGCCCTACGTGGCTCAGTCTGCTCTGCCCTCTGCCTGCTTTCCCCAGCCTTTGTCCTCACCAGAGGACCCCCCTTCCTTAGCTGTCATCTCAGAAATGCTTTCTCACTGCCCAGCCCCACACGTGCACACGAGCAGGGAGGCTGCCCACCGCAGCCTGGTCAAGAACCCATGAGTCAGACCAGCGTGTCTGTCCTTTAAATCCTGAGCAGACCCGCACTGTCTCTAGCAACTTGAGATTTTTTCCGAAGCCTCCAGGAACTTGTGAGTGCATCTCACAGGTGTGAGAGCTGGTCGTGGTGGAGGCTGGTGCCTTCGCTTGTCCCCTGCACATGTGTGGGAGGGTGCAGACGGCAGCTCGAGGAGCCGGATGAAGGCAGGCCACACAGCCAGAGCCCTGGGAGAGACAGCAGCGCAGGGTCTGACAGGTCATTAGCTCCACGGGGAAGTGGCCACGAGTCAGAGTGCTGCTAATGGCTCGTTTCTTCTTAAACAATTTTATGAGGCCGTGTGGGGGAGAGAAGGGGCTGTGGTTTGCCGCTTTGGATGAGAGGTGCTGTCCATTGCTCTATTAGAAGCCATTTGGTACTATTTACAGACCGAGTGACCACTGGCAAGACATTTTCCCGCTTTGCTCTTTGTTTTCCTCCTGTCTGCAATGGGGGTAATAAAGCCTGCCCGTCCATCAGGGCTGCTGGGGTGAGTCCAGCTGTGCCAGCCAGCGCGAGTCCAGTGCCTGCTCGGTGCCACCCCGAGTTACACAGCCCTGTTCTGTCTCCACCACAGCCCTGTGGAGCGTGGGCACCAGCACGTAACCCAGACGTTTTCTTTTCAGATCCTCACAGTCATCCTTTAAGACAGAAGTTGTTCTCATTGTTCAGATGATGACATGGAGGCCTAGCAAAGTCAGTGACTTTCCTAAAGCCATTTAGCCAGTAAGTGGTACGTCCTGGATTTGAACCCAGGTCTTTCTGAAAGTCCTTGAAAGATTTGAAAAGGAGAATAAAGCCGGGGGTTCCTACAACTGTCAGGCCTTAATAAAGTAGTAGTGGGTATTTTTTTACCCCTTAATCCTAATTGCTTGGTAGAAATTGTACATTGGCCCAAATGGGGCTGGTCAGAGTATTTGCTTTTGACTGGCAGTATGTCATCCCAGCACAATAATGCTAGTCATCTCATTCCTTAAGAAACTCTGCCAGACTGTGAATGACACAAAAAAGGTTTTGGGTTCTATATGGACAAGAGGGAGTGGTAAAAGATGAAGATCCCTTATTAAAAACAATAGTTATCAACAAAACCTCTCCCAACAGGGAATCCATAGTCTGCCACCTAACACAGTCACTCAGGTGTCAATGTCACCGTCCCCATCACGATGGTGACAGGCTACCCAGTGCCCCAGGACAAAACTGGGCATACAACATCTGGCATACAAGTCCCTTTGTTAGAGGAACAGAACGTTGGTATACCAAGAGTCCCTAACTGTGCTAGTCTCCGGCATATTATAATGGATATTCGTCTTTGTTATATCCCTGCCCCATGCCCAGCCCCCACTCCGCTGCGTTTGGAAAACACTCCCCCTGCTAGGGAAGTGGGGAGGCTGTGGGCACGCGGGGCCCAGGCTTGGGTAGTCACACGCACATGGAGCTAGCAATGCAGAAAGCCGGGGCGGTGGAGGGTTCATCCTGGGGACGATGGCAGCAGCCACATGTAGTTTCCGGGGGCGGTCGTGGTGGCTCAGCACCTCCTGCTTTAGAGCCAGCAGGCAGTGACACAGGCTGTGGCATCCTTGCCACAGGAGGAGGCTGTGGCATCCTTGCCCTAGGAGCACAGGCTCTGGTAACAGTGGCACGGCGTCCCTTCTCCTGCCCATTTTCTGAGTTTGTTTCTCTAGCTTTTCTATTGTGAGATGTCAGAGAACTTTAAGTAAACTCAGTCTAAATCAGCCAAAGTCTATTTCTCTTGCTTAAAACTAAGAAGCAGACTTTTGTAGAGATGTTGCTCTGTAGTCATCCAAGGGTTTTTCTCCACTCCCCAGCCCCTGACCGTTCTCCTCTGCCTCTTGAGCATCTGACCACGAGAGGATCCCAGGCCGCGTGGGCAGGACTGTGGGCTCCGCCAGCTCCGGTCGTCGTCAGTCGGACTTAGGTGTCCACGCTGCCCAGCAGGGCCCCGCACAAAGCAGGTGCTTGGGAGGGTTTGGGTGAAGGGGCAGGGAACCAACGAAGAGAGAAATTGGCTCCCCTGGGCATGGGCAGGAAGGGAGCCTCGTGCCCGGCATGTGCAGGCTGCCTGTGGTTCCAGCCTGGAGACTGGCCGGGGAGATGAGGAACTTAGAGCAGGGAAGCAGGCGGTAGCACCTTGGAAGGGAGAAAGGACCTCCCTCTCCACTCCTTTGGGTGGGGGCTGTGTAGTTGGTGCTTGCACCTCGTGGCACACACAGAACACGGTATTTGTATGGCCCCCTCTCCCAGCACCTGCCGCCTGGCTGCAGCCTACCCTGTACAGGTGCCCCTGTTCCCAGTGCCTGCCACTTAGAGAGGCTGATCCCGAGGGAACTTAAAAGCCCAGTGTGACCACTGTTCTTAGCCCCTTGTCATTTAAGTTGCAGATATTTTTTTCTAGTTCTTTATTTGCCTTTGTCATTTCCTTTTTCTTTCACTCCATTCGTTCTTGATCACAGTTGTTCTCCCTACAGGAGGTTCCACGCCTTGACAAGAGGAGTGTGGCCCTTTCTGGAAGCCCTCTGGACACGCCCTCCTAGCAAGATGCGGCAGCTCAAAGGGAAGCCCAAGAAGGAGACGTCCAAGGACAAGAAGGAGCGGAAGCAAGCCATGCAGGAGGCCCGGCAGCAGATCACCACGGTGGTGCTGCCCACGCTGGCTGTGGTCGTGCTCCTGATCGTGGTGTTTGTGTACGTGGCCACGCGCCCCACCGTCACCGAGTGAGCGCCACGGCCGGCGTGGACTCCATCGGCAGGGAGAGGAGGTGCGGGAGGGGGAGCGGAACAAAAAATGGCTTTCACATGCAGAGATTTTCATGATGCTGAGCTCTGAGCAGGAGCACCCTGTCTTCTCTGGTCTTTGACTTGATTAAAATTTCTCCACTTTTCTTGGGAGGGAGTAGGGAACATTTTATCAGTGAATGTGCCATATACCTTTTATGGTCCACTTCATGTGCCTTTCAGACTTCAAAGCAGTGCGTGTTTCTTTTTCTCTCCTAAAATCGATAAGCAGCTCCACCTGGTGAGAGGCGGCATCTCCGGGTCATGCAGCAGCTGGAATCAGTACTCACCTCATCCCCATTGTTGGAACATGACTCTTTCCTACATGTGTTCACACTCTCCAAAGGGACTGTATTTCTTCTCTGTGCTTAATGTGATTTGAAATATGTTGATTCAAAGTGAAATATTTATTTTTTGAATAAAGGAGATAATAGCCTTAAACTGGATGTTTATCTTGTTCTGCCAGGAGGTACTGCCTGTAGGGGGCTCCCGTCCTAGGTCCCCCTCTCCCCACCACTCCTGGGGCTCCCCCCTCTTCCGTTCCCTCCCCTCCCTTCAGCACTTCCAGTAAAAATATGCTTTTTCACTGGATCATTTTGAGATTGAAGAAGTCTCGAGAGAAGGACAGAAAGGGTGCGTTAGTTGGCTTGTTTTAGCAAAAATAAGAGTTCTAATTGGAACATGACCACAAGTGCTTTTTATATTAGTCTTTTCTACTTTAATGCATAGGAATGTGCAAACAACAACCAGAGTGGTCCTGGAGATAGAGGGCAGGCTTGGTTTGTTCTTAGCTGAAAGGATGCAAATTGCCGGCGCGCCAGCCGAGTGTTCCATACAAATTGGCTGGAAAGGTTCCTCATTTCATCCTGACGCGCTGCATGTGCAGTGCCGGTCCCTGACGGAGCAGCCTCGTTTTGGAAGTCAGATTCACGGTAACTGCTGGGGGTGTCTGTTCTGCTGTCGTTGCTGATTACAGAGATTTGTGGGGAGAGCGGCGCTCTTCTAATCTCGGTGGCTGCGTGACGTGCTCGCTCACTGATGGCACGGGCTGTTAGTGGAGATTTGGGGCCTCTTGGAGTGAGTGTCTCAGGAAGACGACGCAGCTGTTGAGAGGAAGGACGGTGGTCCTCGTGCTCACTCACATGCGGGTGGCCCTGGAAAGAGATTTGCTGGAATACTTACCAAATGCGGGAGCTGCCAGCATGAAGTTCCTGTGAGGTTTCTGTCTTCCTGCCCCTTATCTGGTTCTGCTAGGAGCTTCAGTGCTTGTTGGGCTGGGAAAGACGCTGCCCTGAGCACCCATTCATGTGGGCTGGAGGGAGGAGGGTGGTTTCTGTGGCCACCCATGCTCTTCACAAGTCCCCTGGCAAGTCCCCTCCTCCCAGGGCAGAGGCTGAGAGGATTGTGCAAGGACAGCCTGTCCTCTCTAGTAGAAAGAGCCCAGTCTGCATGTTTTGTAACTGCCTGATCTACATTTAGTTCCCAGCTACCACCACTCACAGTCGTAGGCTAGCCCACCCGGTCTCAGTTTCCCTGTCCGTAAATAACTGATGAAGTCACTTTTAGGGGAAGTGAGCCCTCTAGAAAAAAACAAGCTTTTAGAGCAAACCTAGGTTTTTATGCAGATTTTGCTGCTGGAACCCCTTGGAGTCTCCTTCCTCCTGTGAAAAACAGATTATCTTGCCTCAGGATTGTTGGGAGGATTAAGTTGCAATAGTATATTTGTCTGCCAAGTCTGGTACCTGGGATACATTCATGGTTACTGTCTACATAATAATAGTAGCTCAGTATTTACACATACTCATTTATTTCTCATGCAACCCTAGGAGGTAGGCACTATTAGTACTCAATTTTACAAATGGAGCAGAGGCAGGTCAGGAGGCTTGTCCATGTCACACAAATAGGAAGCAGAGGGGCCCAGGTTTATTTTTAAGCTTTTGTTATGGGAAATGTTAAACATACCCCAGAATAGAATATACAGCATGCCTCTGGCACCCGTTGACCAGCCTGAGCAAGTCCAGCACACAGCCCCTCCTGCCGCTCCGTCTGCACCACCTCACACCCACACACCCTTGTGTGCACACGCACGTTGGACTGTTCCAAAGCGAAACAGGAGATGGGATTTAAACCCAGCCAGTCTAGACCAGGCACAGTGGCTCATGTCTGTAACCCCAGCACTTTGGGAGGCTAAGGTGGGAGAATCACTTGAGCCCAGGAGTTCAAGGCTGCAGTGAGCTATGATTGCACCACTGCACTCCAGCCTGGGCGACAGACCAGGGTCCTATCTCTTTAAATAAATAAATAAATCCAGACAATCTGGCTCTAGATCTGTGCCCTTCATTGAAATCTGTTGCCTTTCCATAAATAATGTCCTCCTCTCCACTCTCCTGGTCTAAATATACATGGGCTGCCAGGTGTGTTTGCACAGTCCTCACTGGTAGCAGTGGCGGTGAACAGCCTTGGTTGCCGTCTTTAGGCAAACGGCTGTGAATGCAGCCTGCCCTGCTGGCATCTGACACTCCACTCAGCCTTTGGTCTGTTGCTCAGAGGAAGAGGAGCCTCATCCCCGTAGCCGTCAAATAGAAACATCTCTTCTGTGGGCTCCTAGTACTTAAAACATTATGGTGTTAGAGATCTTGTGTGTGAGTGTGAAAACAGCATGAGCTTCAGAAAACACAGGCACGCAGGAATCGCAATGCTGCCCCTCTCTAGCCGAATGACTTCAGTTAGGTTTGCTGCCCGCATCTATCAAGGTTTATTTTACCTTCAAAGGGGTGTTCCAAGGATAGACTGGCATGTGGAAAGGGCATCATATCATGCCTTGTACATTGTAGAGGCCCCACAAGTGGCCATTCCATCCTGTTGGTGTGTTCAGAACCTCACAAGAGGTAAAAAGGGGGGCCGGCTCCCCAAGGCTTTCCTTGCCGCCCTGTGATAGAGCCTTCAGGTTGCGTGGGGCTCTTCCTTTCACCGCTGCTTTCCTCGTTGTTGTCCGTCAGGAGGCCTAGTGGATTTGAACTGGATTTTTCACAAGGCAACTACTGGACAGGTTTGGTGAAGGCAGATGAAAATGGACTATTGAAAGTTAACACGAGTTTGATGTGAGCCCCCTCCTGGCAGGGATGAGATGCCAATTTACTGTGGACTTGCTGGGTGGAATTTTAACAGTTCTCGGGGTAAACAGTACTCTCATGTAGGTGTACTTGGTAATGATTGGAAACACCAGCTTCCAAATTATTTCCAGTCATTCAGTGGCTTCAAGGCGAAACTGAATGATTTATTAGGAGTTTCACAGGAAGTCATGCTGGGGTTGCTGCAGTAGGATCTGGGACTCTTGGCTTGCCAAGTCCTCATTACCAAGCCTCATGTTTTTTGAAGAACATATTCCAAAAGAGAAATTAGGTGGGAAACAGGAATAGAAACAATTGTCATTGGTTTAAAATATGTCATTTGATGTATTTTAAAAATCATGATACCAAAATGTGTTTGTGTTTTTGTCCATTGCCTGGCCAGCTGAAATCTTGGTGATGCGTCACTGCAGTTGTTGAGGGTATGAGACTGAGAGCGAAGAATGCAGACCCAGACTGCCACTCAGAGCGTGACACTGGCCTGGCCCCTCCTATAGGTGTGTCAGACCCTAGATTCTCATAAGAGCTCTTGTATCTCAGAGATCCTGCAATTGTAGGGTTAACAAAGTACCTACCTGAATTAAGTAGATTTACTTAGCACTCAGAACCACAGCCTCTGGGGACAAGAGGTCTGAGGACAGGAGCTACAAGGAGCCTGCACATCTCTCTGACCTGTCTGGTGCTCTACAAATGCAGGGGTTGCGACTGTCTGGCAGTGAGTCAAAACCTGTGAAGGCCAAGTTCAGTTTGATTGGTTCTGAGGCCACCAGTAGACCTTCCCTCTTGGTCAGTTCACAGACAGCAGCGTGCACTCATCCTTCCTGCATCCTTCATGAGACAACAGGAAGGAAGCTACAGCCAGACCCACCTGCAAACTGGAGAGGGTAGAGACACACCTTGGGTGGTCAGGAAGATTAAAGAGATCATTGTCCTTCCTGCTTCCCCAAAAGGACCTCATGTCATTGTTTACTTGCTAGAGTAAGAAAATAAAGGAAGTCTTTTGAAATTATGGCTCTAGATTTCTTTTTGGAAGTCTATCTTCATATGTATATCCAGGCCCTATAGCTCTGCTTGGAAGATGTCCCACATGGCATGTCTTCTGAACATGTCTGCCTTACTTCGAATGCTATTTCTTTTTTTTAGGAACTATGGATACTTAGGTGTTCTGTACAGTATTTGCCACAGACTGTTGCTTAACATTAGAAAGGAGATGCAGAATCTCTGGATCAAGGAAATATATGAGTAGCTTCCTCTAAATCCTTCCAGAATATCTGTACTAGAGTCGGAGAAGGGTTTGCACATTCTCTGGGTCTAGTTCCCCCATTCCCCCGTGCTTCAGATATGAAGCAGAGCAATTGTGCATGTGGTTTGTCTCACCCACTCTTGTCAGTCCCTAATCTTTTCTTATGGGTCTTTGTGCTGTTTAGTGGGCAGTCCTTCTATTCTGAGTATTTTCTCATTACAAGGCAAATGTCTCTGACTTTCTTATTTTCAGTTGGTTCATCTGTATTATCTCCCCACCTGCCAGTCCTTTGTAAAAGAGCCTGTATTTTCAAAAGGCCTTTAGTCCCATGAGCTTTTGAGTAATAACTTAAGGAATGTACAGCCGAGAGAGCATCTGGATGCTCAGTAATGTCATGGTTAAGCATCTCTCTCTCCTTCCCTTGTCATTCACTCCCCCTTGTTCCATAAAGGTGGTCTGCCTGTGAACTCTCCCCGCAGGGAAACTTTCCACCAGTTGTGTGACATGGACAAGTATCCTGGCCTGCAGCAGCTCCCTCGTTTGCAAGGTTGAGTAGCAAGAGTGCCTATCTCATAGGGTTGTGTGAGAAATAAATTAACACAAGTAAAATACTGAGCTACTACTGTGATTTGTACAGTAACTATGAATATGTGCCAGGCACTAGACTTAGCATTACAAACATACTATTTCAATTTAATCCAACAATCCTAAGGCAAGATAAGATAACCTGTTTTTCACAGGAGGAAAGTTCCTCCAACTTTTGAATATTCCTTTTCCAGTTGAAATGAGGCACAACTGGTCACATGCTGATCACCTCAGCTCTTTCAGAAAGCCTATTAAGCCATGTGGGATCAGACCTAACTCCCAAAGCACCAGCAAGTGTGGGTTGGAGTAAATTAAGAAAGCCCTTTATGAACTTTTGCAGACTCCTCCACCTTGCAATACCTCTGCCTCCACCTGTGTTCCCGGCTCTGCGGAAGGTCTGCCTGTCCATTTCATCCATCCAGAGACACTGGCATTCCCCTCCGCATACAGCCCTCCCAGACTGGAGTTTGAAAGGTGTAACAATA